ACTTGGACAATGTTAATGACAGCTGTGTGTTTCCTTACACAATTAGAACCAAGCTCGATCCTGCTCCGTGTTATAATCTCACTTATGGATCGTTGGTTAATTAATCCAATCTGAAGTGTGTGTGGTCTATTCCCATCCACTTCTGACAGACCGGAAAACTGAAACTTAAAAGAACAAGGAGATAGAGACTCTAAAAAGCATGGAATGAGTCCATGACATCTATGAATCCGTATCAGATTGTTAGGAAAAAGACCCAACCAGAGCACATGAAAATGAAAAGATGATTGTTAAAAAAAAAAAAAAAAAAAAAAGAAGAGTTGATCAGAAGAACGGAAACAGTCAAAGAAGAGAGAAAAACTGGGGAGCTGTTGATGAGTTGGAACAAAGGACTACTTCCAGAGCCCAGCAAGAACCAAGAAATAAGCACAGGCAGGGCAAGTTGAGACATGGTTCCAGCAACTATCTAAGTTTTGGAAGGAGAAAACACAGTGAAAGAAATACTTGAAGAAATAATCAAAAGAAAATGTCACAGTAATAAAAAAAAAGAGGACGCTAGGTTCAGACACAGCAAACAACAAAACCTCATCTGCAAACTTGGCTGTGACTTCAGAATGTACAGAATAAAGCTTTTAAAAACTGAAAGCTTCAACAAGAGGGAGAAACAGATTACCCACACATTTGCCTCAGACTTCTCACCAACAACACTAAATGCGAGAAGGCCACGAGGAATGTCTTCAGAGATAGTTTGGAATACTATTATGAATGCAGGCAAACTTGCATTCAGGTGTAAAGGCAAAATGAACACATGCTGAGAAATGCAAGGGCTTGGAAAATGACTATCCCTACCTGACAGTCCCTACCTGAAAGAATTACTTGAGGAGATATTCTAATTAACAGAGAAAGTAAATCCAAGAGGAAGTCATGGAATTTAAGAAGCAGCGGTGAAAACTATACACTAAGGCCTTCCCTGGTGGCGCAGTGGTTGAGAGTCCGCCTGCCGACGCAGGGGACACGGGTTCGTGCCCCGGTCCGGGAAGATCCCACATGCCGTGGCGCGGCTGGGCCCGTGAGCCATGGTCGCTGAGCCTGCGCGTCCGCAATGGGAGAGGCCACAACAGTGAGAGGCCCGCGTACCGAAAAAAAAAAAAGTCTTCTGGGGAAGCAGCCAAAAAACCATTCATAGACAGTGGGAAAGAAAAAAGTCACACATGAGTAATTAAAACCCTAAGCCCTTGCCACCTATGGGTGTGGGGTCTAAATTTACACCACTCAAGTAGAATGGAACCGCAAAGCTGTAAATTTAGTATATAAAATGTCCACGACTAGTGAAACACTCAGGCCCAGCAGAGACACAAGACCAATCACTAGAAGGACGTTTTCAAGACCTGGGGGACACAAGATTCCCACAGAAAAGAAAAGGGTGGGATGTTGACCAAGATGAGTTCACAATAAAAAATGAAGAAACGGGCTTCCCTGGTGGCGCAGTGGTTGGGAGTCCGCCTGCCGATGCAGGGGACGCGGGTTCGTGCCCCGGTCCAGGAAGATCCCGCACGCCACGGAGCGGCTGGGCCCGTGAGCCGTGGCCGCTGAGCCTGCGCGTCCGGAGCCTGTGCTCCGCAACGGGAGAGGCCACAGCAGTGAGAGGCCCACGTATTGCAAAAAAAAAAAAAAAATGAGTAAACAAAACGTGATCTATTTTGCAGAAAATGTGTCTAAAGAAAAAATAATAGTAATAATCAAAAAGAAAGAAAATGTTTCTAGTAGTTACTGAAGTATTTGTTTTGTGATAATTCCTTTAACAGTGTAGATTTTGTACTTTTATGTTTTGGCCCCATGTGGGGTGTGTGTGTGTGTGTGTGTGTGTGTGTGTGTGTGTGTGTGTGGTGTGTACATCATGAATTATGTACATGTGTGTGATATCCCTAAATCTTCCTCTCCTTCTTCATCCTCCATCAAAACACACACAATACACACAAACACAATTAGTATTTTGAGAATTGAGGTCAAAAAATGAGGAAACAAAACCCATGAGGTACAGGTAGCTTGTGCGCAGGTACACACACATGCACACACACGTACCAGAGCAGCCTGAATGTATCTATGCAACACAGGCTCCAAATGACTGAGATGAAAGACGGGCCATAGAGCATAAGCAAGGTTTAGGAGGATGAAGGTCAGCTCCATTTGGAACTTGCAGAGCGTTAAGTGGTTTTGAGATGTCCAGGTAGAGGCAAGTGGGAGCCTCCTGAGAATATGAGTCTGGAGCCCAGGGCATAGGTCTTGGCTAGAGATGAGCTTGGGGGTCATCACCAGGGGTGGCTGTGATTGGCCAGGGCCTGAACCATGGCGGGGGCTGTCTCTGCAGTGAGCCCTGCGTTTAAGGGCAGGAACGCAGAAGGAGGCAGGGGTGGGGCTCGATCTGTAACACCAATTTTGATTGCAGCCTTTTCCAGAAAGTGTTTTTAGAACGTCCTCTCCCCAAAAGAGTCCCCAGAGGCTCTCTCCGCAGGCCCCCGGCTCAGCCTGTCCTATTGCACTGTAGCCGTGGCCACGATCATCTTCCTGTCTGCTGTGAGCTCCTACAGGGGTAACAAGGCCAGCCTGCTTGTCTTTATTTCCCCACCATCCTGGGTTGAGCCCAGGTCTCGGCTCCAAAAGTGGCCGCTGGAATGAATGAAATCGGCGTGTGTGTTCTGCCGTGTTGTGGGAATTCACATCCTGAATCCACAGGGGAAGGGGACTCAGAAGGAGCCAGAAACGCGGCTGGTTTCCTCTTCCCCACCCCTCCTTCTCTCTCTCTCCCTCTTGCTCCCCATTTCATACTGGGAGGAAACAGCATCAATTCTTGGACTCAGGCAAGCCACTGCCCCTAATCCAGCCTCTCATGAGCTCCATGATGCATTTGTTAGAACTGTATTTGTGAAAGATCTTTCACTCTTCTTTCCCCCTTCCCACGTTATAATGACCAGGCACTGAAGGCACTTTGCAAGTATCGGCTCATTTAACGTGTGCAATTTGTGTGCTAGCCCCATTCTGCAGGTGAAGAAACTGAGGCTCTGAGAGGTGATGTGACTTTCCTGGCCACAAAGCCATGGGGTGGCAGGGCCAAGGTTCAAACCCAGACCTCTTAGATTCCAAAGCTACGGTTTCAGCCTTGCCCATCGACCTCCATCTGCTTCCTCCTCCCCTGCCCTCCCAGCTCACACTGCTTCTCACTCACCTCCTCCTTAGCTCACACTGTGTCTGAGTCACACATCCCTTGGCAGACAAGCGCGGGTTGGGATGGGAGGGGATGGCCAGATGGGTGGTGAGTACAAGTCTCGGTTTGTCTTTTCATCACTCCCAGCATTGTCCCAGGGAAGCACTGGGAGTCCATGACCCCTTCTGGGCCCCCTCCGGGTTCCTGGGGTGAAGGAAAGAGTAGACAAAGGGTCCATCTGCAAATGAGTAGCAGGGAAGACTGGGAAATTTCCTCTGGTCTGGTCTTGGGTACCAGACTCAGAGCCCACTCGTTCTGTGAATGTGACAGTGGCCCAGGAGGGCCTTGCCATTAAGACTCTGGGTTGCTCGGACTTGACTCTGCCAGGGCTCAGAAATGTGCTGAGCCTTGGTCCAATTTGGGAAGCAAAGCCCTGGTCTGGGAATCAGGAGACTGGAGATCTAAGTGTGATGCTGCCCCCAACTTGGAGGACCTTGGGCAAGATGCAGCTCCTCTGAGCCTTGGGCGCTTCATTTGTAAAATGGAACAGTCATCCCAGGCCTGTCCATTTCTCAGGATGGGGAAGCTGGTATGGGGCGGGCTCTGAACGAAGGAGGCCGGGATGGGGGAGGGTAAGAAAAGGAACAGATGCTGGGGTAAGACAGCTACCACCAAGATGGTCAACACCAAAATGGTCATTCTCTTGGGCTAGGCCAGGACTGTCTCACTGAGCGTCTCCTGATAGGTAGCCTGGCCCAGACCATGACGGGAAAGATGGGGCCAAGAGAGGAAGGAAAAGAGGAGATGAGAAGGAGGGGAAGTAGGAGGAGTGATATATTGGGTGGGGAGGAGGGATAGAAAAAAGCTAACCGAGGCAGAGGCACCCTGGATCCTGGATAGGGTTCTAGCCCCGGCTCTGCTTCTCACTCCTGTGTGACCTTAGTCAACTACAGCCCCTCTCTGAGCCTCAGGTTCCCCATATGCCATCTCACATTTTATAAGCTCCTTGGTTCCATCCTCCACTTGCCTTGTGAAGCCTGGGTCCATAGGTTCATTGTCAAGAATGCTTCCTTGAGACCCCCTCTCTTGCCTCCTTCTAAAATTCCTGCCTCTCCCCGCTGGGCCCAACAACCCTCAGCTTAAGGGTTGACCCCTTTATGTTTTGACTTACACTCTGTGACCCATCACAAGGCAGAAGCCTTAGCTAAATCACCTTTGGTCCCTCCTACCAAGCACTTATACATAGTAGATGCTCAACGAACATTCTCTTCATAATATGAAATGGTCAGATGGACAGAAGGATGGACGCCTAAAAGAATATGCCTGCTTTGTCTGCTGATTAAGCTCCTGGTCAAAACTCCCCTCCTTAAAAAGCCTCTGGACGAATCCCCAGCCATAACCTTCAACCAAAGCAAGTTACAACCCCAGCTGCTGCCCCTCTCCCCTGCCCATTCCCAAAGGCTTTCCAGTTGCTACCCTACATTAACTAGCAGATTCCAAGGAGCTTGGACCCTGCCGCCTGCCCTTAATTACCCACGCTCCTGGGTGGTCATCCAATGAACACAGGAAGCTCTGCTGAAGTACCCTAGAGTTTTTCTGCCACAGAAAACCCTGCAGAAGAGTCCCCATGAGGATTCCTGCAGGTCACAGAATTCAGGGGTTGTAGGCGCAGTTCCCAGACAGACAGATGACTCTTCGTAGAAAACCCAGGTTCTAGCCCCAAATTGCCATCACTTCAAACTGCGCACTGTCCGCAACACGCATATGTATACAACCAGCCAGGAGAGAAGCAGAACCTTACCTTGATGCTCCTCCAGTTTCCCCATGGTCTCGATCTGCTCCACCAGGTCATTTGAATTCCACTGGCTCATCCCAATAAGGATGGCGTTCTTCCCTTCGGCCACCTCCTCTGTGGAAAGAAGTAAAGATGGGCATGAGTTGGCAGGGCTGTGCGGAGGTAGCCCTAACAGGAGCCTATGTCTCAGGGAGTATTTATTTCTTCCTTTGAGCTGAGGAAGATGTCAACTATTGAAGGTGTCTATAGTTACAGACAGGCATAAGACATCCAGGAATGTTTCATTGCAAGAAGGCATTGTTGTTACACCCTACTGGGTCTCCACAGGTTACAGCAAAAAAAAAGTAACAAGGGAACAGTCATGCGAGAGGCTGAAAACTCATAGAAGGCTCCATTCCTAGCACTAAGAGTGGTATTTGTTGAAAGGCAGTGTGTTTGGGAAGAAAAAGTAAAGCCTTACCACTAGGTAGCAGTTTTTCTTTGGGTGAGTGACTTGGCTTCTCTGAGCCTCAGTTTTCCTATCAGTAAAATGGGACTGGCAATGTCTAATCACAGAGTTGTTGTAAGGATTAAAGGAGAGATAACGAATATAAAGATCTTGGTGCACAGGGGGTGCTTACAGATGGGAGACATTAAGGTTAATTCTTCACATGAGGAGTGAGTTGCCATCCTTGTCTGCGCACATCAGGATTTGAGTGGTGTAGGAGCAGCTCTGGAGTAACTGAGAGAGCAGAAGACTTCCGCCTCTAAGCAAGCCTTAAGCTATATGGAACCCTTAGCCCACATCTCAACTTTATGAACCTCTTAATGCTTCCATTCTCCCTTTAGTCCTCCCCTCAACCCTGTCTCTATCCTTGCCCTCTCCCAGTCTGAGCTCAGAGGAATTGGTGAGGTCATATTCCCTAACACACTGAACACAAGCCCCCGGGTCCCACACATCAATTACACATATCTGGTGCAGTCCCTCATCCCAGAAAGGGACATTTCCTCAAGAACAAATCCACAGGAATGCCCCCTCTCTCTCTTTAAAGAGACAGGCCTTCCTGGTGAAGAGCTTTGTGCCTTTTCTCATAGAGCAGACATTAAAGGGCCGTGAGGAGAACTCTTAAGCTCATCATAACCGAGAAGAAAGAGAGAAGACCCACTTCACTGCCAAAGAACTTCACAGAGCACGTGGAACCAATATGGTGAATCTAAAGCTTGGGGATCTGTCCAGAGTTCTGAATCACTCAAGCTCAGTAATCCAGACCCCATTTCTGGCTGGGACACCTCCTCCTGCCTTATTTGATTACTTTATGTGATCTATTTAACACCACTTACCAAATCCTTAGTATGCACTGAGGTTGTCAGAGTGTTTTACAAACACAGATTCATTTAATTCTCATAACAATACTAAAAAATTACAATTATTATTATCTCCATTTTATAGACAAGGAGACTGAAGCATGGAATAGTTCAGTAACTTGCTGAAGGTCACTGGCTAGAGCCAGGATTTAAACCCAGATATACTATTTCAAGAGTCCTAAAATCCTGCCCTCCTGATGGCCTGCCTGCCCTGGACATCCTGTATTGGCTGCCCAAGCACCACACACAACCAGACAATTTCCTGAACCCGGTGTGCTCCATCTGGGCACGGTTTACACCTCTAGGCAGCATCATGCTCTGGGCAGAGCCCTGACTGGGTTCCAGTCCTGAGCTGCTACATGTGAGCCTGTACCTTTACAGATGTCCCTCAACTGTTCCTCTTTTCTTATTGCTTACATGGGAATAACAGCTCTGGTTCCACAACTCTTTCTAGCAAACTCTCATGAGGACGACTGACATAGTAAATTTGAAAAGGCTACACAAGCCAGAATGCTGTAAACAAGTATCAGGTAGTATTATTCTTGGGGAAGCAGGATCACCAGGGGGTGAAGAGCTCCATTCTGGTGTTAGACTGACTCTTTTCAATCCTGGATGCACCATCTGCCAGCTATCCGACCTTGACAGTAACTTATGCTTTATGAGCCTCCATTTCCTCATCTACAAAAGGACATCACAGTAATGCCCACGTCCTACTAGAATTGCTGTGAGGATTCAATCAGATAATGAGACAATGAAGGTAAAGCGTGTACAAGCACGACTGGCACACGGCGGGAGCACAGATGTGGATAACAGCACAGGAAGATGATGGTACCACCATTACCAACACCACCAGAGCATGTGGAGTTATGCCCCAGTTCCAGTTATGCTGCTGCCTACCCCTATGTCATTTTGTCCCAGCTTCGGAGCGGGGTCGTCAGGGTCAGCCTGTAGCCCACCTTGAGTGCCTATGTCTCCTGGCTCAGTTACCCAGGCGTGCAGTTTTCTGCTTGTTCATTTAACATTCAGTCTACAACGGAGGGATTCCTGAGCAGCTGCTGTATGCAGTGTGAGACACGACCTCCATCCTGCAGGAATTCAGCTTTGTGAAAAAACACAGTGGGAAACTGACACAGTCAGATGAGTGAGCTGGGGCTCCTGGTCCAGTGCTGGGTATACAGCAGGTGCTTACACGTCCCAGACCCTGGTTCTTCTATAATGCGTGATCCCTATCTCACGGTGTCTGTGAGGCTATCAGAACCCCGAGAGGCTTCAGCATCTTTTCCCTCTTCCTTGTATCTGCATGACCCACCTCCATCTTTCCCTCTCAGCCTTCTGTCTATCTCTCTAGGAAATGTATCTCCTCTCAGACTCTCCCCGTGTTCCTCCCTGCTTGATGCCCATCCCTGACCCACTCAGACCAGGTCCCTTTCCATTGATCTCTGTCCCTCTGGGTCCTGGGGCTTCTCTGTCTCAGGCTCTCTGCCGTGTATGTCCCTCCCTCTGGGCCTCGATCACAATTTACGCTTTGCTCTCGCTCTGTCTTTATCCCAGAACCTGTCTCTCTCCTCTCTCTCGGTGGATGTGTCTCTTTCTTGATCTCTTTCCTTCTCTGGGTTTCTCTGGGTGCCTGCCCCTCAGAAGCTTTCCATCTCTGCAGGCCTTCTTGGTGTCTCTGATCTCTCTCCCTCCTGGGTCACTGTCTCTCTTTCAGCTCTCTTGGTGTGGCTCTCTTGGTGTCTCTCTTGGTGTGTCTGTGTGTGTGTGTATGTATGTGTCCCTCTCTCCCGTCCTCTCTGAGTCTCTCTTGCTCTCTTTCCCTCTCTGCTTTCTCATATTTTCCCTGGCTTCCTTGCACTCTCTGCTGCTCCCCGCACCCCCTGCCCCAGGCTTCAGCCTGCCTGTCTCTCCAGCTGCTCCCCGGCCCCCCACCTCACAGATGAGACTTTTCTCCCTCTCTGGGCCACTCCTCTGCCCCTGCGCTCAGTACTCAGCCTTAGATCTTCACTCTGGCAACAATGGGCTTGACCCCTGAGTGGCAGCAAGACACACACACACACGCGCGCGCGCACGCACGCGCACGCGCACACACACACACACGGAAGCAGCAGCTGAGAAATCTCCTTTTGGAGTCACTCAGGAGAACCAGGGAGACGCGTGCCTCAGCTCTGAGCCTCTGCTCCGTTTCCCCTCTTTGTAGTACGAGACTCCCAGTGGAGGCCAAAGGGCACGAAGGGCTTATCTGAATAAACGTCCTGGTCATTGACTTTGCTTTTCGACTTCTGGTGACTGTTCCCTATGTGCCAATGCTCAACCCCGGTGACCCCTGGTGCGGACAGAGTTTTTGCATCTACTTCGACCCCCCTGAGCCCCAGTCCCTGCCCATTCCAGGTGCCAGGCTCAGCCTCACCCACCAGTACCACGCCCCAGGCCTTGACCTCAGACTGACTCCGAACCCGGAACAAAACCTGGATACAGCGAAAGCCTTTCTTCCTACCCTGGGGCCTCTGTGTCTGCTGGACCCACAGGACTTCAAAGCGGGGAACGTCCTTGCCCCGTGCTAGGCAGGCTTCACCTGCAGCTCATGGAGCCGAGGGCTCTGTCACCTTCGGCCATCAGCCGGTCCAGGTCCCTCCATCACTCCTTGCCTGAGGCCGATAGGCCAGTCTCTCCACGGACCAGATATGCGCTGCTCTGGGGCCTCTGGGACACAAGAATGCTAACCTCCCCGACTGGGGACCGCTCGCTCCATGCCCCACCTACGGCCGTACCACCACCGTCTCTTCATCACAAGGGGGTCCCCACTCAGCCCATTCCCAGAAGACTTTGGGGCAGCTCCTTGGCATTTGCTTCTCTACATCCCCTCCCCTAATGAGAGGGAGGGTCAGGGGTCAGCGACACACCTGTGCTTTGCTTCTCTGAGGGCTCCTTTGCCCAGCTTCCCAAAGCGACATCCTCCACTCCAGCCACGAGACAAACCCTGTACCCCTGCTGTGCTCCAGAGGGGGGACCCGGGGCCCAGAGGCTCAAGACTTGCCTGAGGTCAGACAGTAGCCAGTCACTGCCCCAACCCTGAGGAAAACCTGGCTGCTCTGACCCCAGACGACCTGTGCCACTTCCCTCTACGCTCAGAGATCCCGAGCTCTGAGTCTCTGGTGTCCTGGTGCAGGAGCAGGGGGACACAGGGCCACTCCAGAGCCTGGGCGGGAAGCACGTCCAGAGGCTACTGGGCCGGGTCTGCCCTCCCGCACAGCGCTGAGCAGGCGCCCCCTTGCTCACTCTGGCCACACCAGCCTTCCTATTCACTCCTCCCATAAAAGCTTTGCACTGGCTGTTCCCACTGTCCACAACACTATTCCCCCAGATCCTCACCTGGCTCATTGCTTGTTATTCAGCTCTCAGGTCAAGGCCACACCCGCTGGGGGCCTCCAAATTGCCCAGCCACTCCATCACAGTCCCTTATGTTATACTGCGGGGGGAGTGCCTCCATTTCTTTTTAGCGGCATTACTAAAGCTATGACTGACATTCGATAAACTACACATATTTAAAATGCACAATTTGGGAATTCCCTGGCGGTGCAGTGGTTGGACTCGGCGCTCACTGCCGAGGGCCCGGGTTCAATCCCTGGTCACGGAACTGAGATCCTACAAGCTGCGCAGTGCGGCCAAAAAAAAAAAAAAAAAAAAAAAAAAAAAAAAAAAAAAAAAAAAGTACAATTTTTTTTTTTAAAGTACAATTTGATAAGTTTTGACATATGTGCACACCCAGGAAGCCATCACCCTAATCAAGATAGTGGACATATATCCATCACACCCAGAAGTTTTCTCCTGTCCCTTTTGATCCCTCCTCCCCACCCCCAGGCAACCACTGATCTGTTCCTGTTTCCATAGACTCGTTTGCATTTTCTGGAGTTTTCTATAAATGGAATCATAATATGCACTCTTTCTCAGTCTGACGCTTTTTCACTCGGCACAGTTATTTTGAGATTCATCCGTATTGTTGTATGTATCAGTTCATTCCTTCTTATTGCCAAGCGGTATTTCATGAATACTGAGTACATGAATGTACCGCAATTGGTTTATTCATTTACCCATTGATGTACGTTTGGGTTGTTTTCACTTTGGGGCGATCATAAATAAAGCTGCTATAAACATTCAGGTACATGTCTTTAGGTGGACATTTGTTTGCTTACCTCTTGTGTAAATACCTAGGAGTGGAACGGTAGTTAACTATGATAAACTTTCTAAGAAGCTGCAATCTGTTTTCCAAAATGGCTGCCCCATCGTACGTTCCCACCAAGCCGACTTTAAAAGTCCCAATTCCTCCACCTCCTGGTCAGTTGTCTTAATTAGTCATTCTAATAAGTGTGAGGCAGTATCTCATTATGGCTTCAGTTTACCTTTTCTTAATAACTAACGACGTTGAGCATATTTTCATTTTTCACCTTTCACTTTTCATTTATCTACCTTCTTTGGTGAGGTGTCTGTTCCTCTGCCTTATTTTATTTATGGAAACTATCAGTAGAGCTCACTTGCTTGTACGTTGTCTTCCCACCCATCACCACTAAACTGTAAGCTCCATGGGGGCCACGACAGTGTCCACTTGCCCTGCATCCCCTACACCTGCAATAGGGGGATGGACAGATGCTCAATAAATACTTGAGAGAGTAAATAAATGACTCTGAATTCTAGCCCCTGCTCTGCCTGACCCTTTGTGTGACCCTGAACAAGTTTCCCAGTTCTTTGGCCTCAGTTTTCCAGCCTGTAAAATGAGGTCAGGGTGTTGAACTCAAAGACCTTGAGGGCCCCCTAGCTCTGACATGGGTTTGAGGCATGTCCCCTCTTGGCCACCATGGGTTTCCCTCACTCTGCACTCCAGCCTTGCTAGACTGTGGCTCCCCAGATACCCTCTGACTGTATTGACAGGATGGGGAGTGGTGCTTCTTCTGGGTCTGGGAGCCTGGACCCCATCACCCATCCGGCAGCATCCAATCATGGGTACCAGCCGCCCTGAGGCCCCATGCCTGCTGCCACAGCCCAGGGAGCTGGCATCTTGCCCAGGGGACTGTTACGGTCCCGGATAGCTCCATACTCCTACCTGACTTCCCCCAGTCCCTCCCAGGCCTTACATACACAACCAGAGCCCCCAGAGCCTAAGAGTCTTCCTCTGCTACTAGACCATGAGCCATAAAGGTCTCTTGTCCCACCAGGTAAACCCTAGTGCTGGACAAGTGGGATGGAGCTTAAGGAAGAAAGGGAGGGAGGAGGGCCCCATTTTCAGTAATAAGGCGAAGAAAAAGGGTGACCTGGACACTAAGCTCCCGGGCTCCAGCCCTCTGCCCCCACCTTGCTGTGTGATCTTGAGAGGTCCCTTCCATGCTCTGGCCTCTGTTCCTGACAATGTGGCTCCATCACGGCTGGAGGTGGAACTTCAGAGGCAGCAGGTTTCAGGTGGAGACAGAGATCACACCCAGGCCAGGGTCAGGGCTCAGCCTGGGCTGGAGAACAGAGGCAGGGAGGTGACCCTTCAGAGCATGCCCAGAAAGCCGGACACTCATGGCCTGGCCCCAGATGCTGAGAAAGCTCTTGGGAGCAGAGAAGGAGGATGGCTTTACCTCTTACTGCCCTGAGTGGAGGAAATATGCAAAAGCCTGGTCCAGGGAGACCACAAGGAACAGACAGGAGGTGAGGAGTTGGCAACGCAGAACCAAAGAGGTTCCAGCAGCCTGCGGGCGGATCCCGGGGCTGAGAGCTACAGGTGCTCTGGGAGGGGCGACATAGGAAAGGTTCAGAGACATGAGGTTCAGAGGCCTGGTAGGGAGTGCTGAGAGGTGGAAGACAGCGAAAGAGACGGGAGAGTGTGTGATCCTGGGATAGTGGAGAGGAGAGACGGGGTGAGGGGAGCGGAGAGGAGATGAGACAAAGGAACAGGAGAGAAGGTGGGGCCACCCATAAGAGAGGAGTGAGAGGTGAGGCCAGCTTGGGAACTGCAGGCAGGGCAGTGAGATCATGGGGCCAGAGGACAGAATGCTGAGGGTCCGCAGGGAGGGAAGCAGGATGGATCCACAGCTGCTCAAAAGGAAAGCAGGTGCATAGGGCCCATGGGGATGGAGACGGAGCTGACCGGCGCCACCCGCAGACGTCTCCCGCAGGGAGCCGTCATCGTCATCTGGGAATGCAGAGCCCTGATGAACTGCAAAAATATTTTAAATGAAAGTGTTCTAAGCATGAAAATATTGAAGCCGTTGTTGTCACACTTTGGGTGAGTTGCTATGGAGAAAGTCAGCCCCGGCTGCCGCTCCAATCAGACACCAGTGGGAAACAGGAAAGAAGCCCCAAATGGGCTGGTTTGGGGTTAGCATCAGGGAGGGGGCACTCCATCCAGAGTCAAGAATGGGGGAGGCTCAGGCTGGGGCAGCATCCCACTGCCCCCCCCCCCCCCCCCCCCCCCGCAAAACAGAATCATAGGAGCAAGACAGCTATATTATGTCTCTTTTCCCTCTGTACAGGGTTATTCAACATCCCACCCCCCCCCCCCCCCCCCCCCCCCCCCCCCCCCCCCGCCACACCGTGCCTCCCCGAAAATCACCTGGACTGGATACAGTCTCCATTTCTGGAGGCACAGAGCTGATAGGGAAACCGAGGCCCGGAGAAAGTGAAACACTTGCCCAAGATCACAGAACGAGTCAATGGCACGGCTGAGACCATGTCCCAAGTGTCCTGCTCTGGGTCCTGGGGTCTTGCCAGCGCATGCTCTGTTTCTCTTTCAAGACCCCATTCAGCCAGCACTTCAAAGCTGGTCCCATCCCAGGAGTAAGTCAATCCCCCAAATATGGTGACTTCCCAGAGTGGAGCTGAGCCAGCCAAGTGAGACTTGGGGACCCTCCTAGGCCGGAGACCCTCCTAGGCTTGTGTGTCTCACCCAACCCCGCACGGCCCAGGCCAGCATGACTGTGAGGGTCCTCTCCCCTGATGTCCAGGCAGACTCTGCCTTCCACTGGTCCCCACACCTGCCCTGCACATCCTCATCTCTGAGACCGCGCTCTCTGCCTGAAATGCCCACCCCATCTGGTGCCCCCTTCTCCAATCCTTGTAATGTTTCTTGTTTTCCCATCCTCAGACAGAGCCCCTTGCTACGCCCGGCCGGCAGGCCATGCACCCAGCACTGAAATGCAGAGCTGATGCCCTCCCCTCCCTCGTCTCTCCCCTGAACATCTGCAATAATCTTTCTAACTCGTCCACATCTCCACTCCAGATCCCCCTCCCATCTGTGGGCTGATCTCGAGAGTCACCTACTGGGTCACATGCAGCCTCATCTCTCCTTTCCCCCTGCCGCATGGGCCTCCAGTTCCTGGAAAGCCCCGTCTTTCCTGCTTCAGCACCATCATACCTGCTGCGTCTTCTGCCTGAGGCTTTTTCCTCCCACTCTCCTTCTAGCCAGCTCCTACCCTCAGCGCTGCAGAGAGGATATTAAGGACCTCCCCAGCCTAAATCAGGTACCCCCATCATCACTCTTTCTACTAACACTTGGTGCTTTTTACTCAGGGGTATTAGTTCCCATTTGTGACTGTATTTTCCTTTATGTAATTGTTTGATGTTGGCCTCTCCCACTAGACTATCAGCTTGATGAGGGCAGTGGCCACGCCTATCTGTTTACTGCAGTATGGTAAGCGCCTGAAATATTGTAGGGACTCAGCAAATATCTCAAAGAGTGAATGAATGGACGCTGAGCCCCAGCCCTGAGGGGACTCACAGATTGGGTAATAATGAAGCATGGAATTGCAGTGTCTGAGTGGGGAGAGATACTAACTCCCAACAGGGGTCCCCTTCTTGGAGCTTCTAAAAAGGTCACCCAGACAATGATGGGACGATGAGATTCACTCACCTCTAGCATCAAAGAATTCATCATCAGAGCTCTCCACTGAGTCGCTGAGGACATTTCGAAGGTGCCAGGGGGCACCACCGCCCGGAGGAGGGCCACCTGCCAAATGAAACACACCTGTTAGCCAAGCTTGAGGCCGTGTCCTGGCATGAAGGAGGTAAGCCCAGACTGCCCCTGGACCAAGGTTTAGTCGGCATCCTGCACGTCCCTGCCCTCCTGACTTCAAGTGCACAGCATCTCGCAGAGCCCTCCCACCTCTATGCTTTCATTTAAGACCCAAATTCCTTTCTGAGACGGCTCAGTGGGGCAGGAACGAGGGTGCCCATTTTGAACACACCAAAACCGAGACCACGGGTAGTTAAGAGACGTTGCCAAGGTGACATGGTGTATCAGGAAGCATCAGGTAAGTTTTGCTGTGTTAATAAATGATCTTAAAACAATAACGGGCTCCTTCGGTCTCCGGGCTTGTGGACCCCTGCGGCCGTCGCCCGGCTGGCGCCAGGTCGGCTCGTTGGAGGGACGGCCTGGGCTGTGGGTAGGCGGGCGGGAGGTTGCCTTTCCCTGTCTCCCCCCGGGCCGCCTGAGGCGTGAGGAAGGAGCGGCAAGAAAAAAAAAAAGGGGGCTTCCCTGGTGGTGCAGCGGTTGAGAGTCCGCCTGCCGATGCAGGGCACACGGGTTCGTGCCCCGGGCCGGGAAGATCCCACGTGCCGCGGAGCGGCTGGGCCCGTGAGCCATGGCCGCTGAGCCTGCGCGTCCGGAGCCTGTGCTCCGCAACGGGAGAGGCCACGACAGTGAGAGGCCCGCGTACCGCAAAACAACAAAACAAAACAAAACGAAAAAAACAATAACGGTTCATTCCTCACTCACACACAGCTAGGAAAGGGGCTCTGGCCACGGCGGTCACTCAAAGACGCCACCTGATGATGCCAGCATCTCGAATCGAGACTTCGAGTTTTGCAGAAGCAGGGGAGGGGAGCACAGAAAGGCACGCCCAGTCGCAAATGAGTCTTCCCACACGTGACACACTTCTGCTCATGTCATTGGCCCAAGCAAGTCACGTGACCAAGCCCAGTTGTAAGAGGGTGGAGGCGAGGAGAAGCGGACACCCTGAAGGGCCCTAGTGATGTCTGTTGCACACGTGTGCAGGCCAGGGAAGGACTGCAGCCTCCCCTGGGGAAAAAGCCCCACACTAAGAGAATGGGGACCTGAACTTGAGTTCCACCCCATCTCTGCCACTTGCAACCTCTGTGGCCATTTCCTCTCCATACCACAGCTTCAGTTTCCCCTTCTACAAAATATCGGCAATCAATCAATCCCGAGCTGGAAGGATCAGAAGTAACGCATGCTCAGCGCCTCTATCTCGGGGGGGGGGGGGGGGCGGCTATTATTATTAATATCTGCAGAGGCCAGGACATGGGGCTGAGAGGATCTCCAGAGCAGGCAGGAGCAAGTGCACATAGAGAACGTGGCCCCTTGCCCTGGACTCAGCCTCAACCCACCTCCTACCCCACGACCGGAGGGAGGAAGGCCAGAGGCAGAGCTGGGTCAGAAGCCATCTCCCCTGCCCCCCATTCTCAGAGCCCCCTTTACTTGGCACTTTGGGACTCTCATGGAACCAGCTGGTGCCCGGCACATCCAGGAACCCCTCCACCTGCTCCCTGGATACGTGAACCACTGGAGATGGCAGATGAATTCCAATCTAATTGTAAACATTAAAACCATAAAAGTGGGGCTTCCCTGGTGGCGCAGTGGTTGAGGGTCCGCCTGCCCCAGTCCGGGAGGATCCCACATGCCGCAGAGCGGCTGGGCCCGTGAGCCACGGCCGCTGAGCCTGCGCGTCCGGAGCCTGTTGCTCCGCAACGGGAGAGGCCACAGCAGCGAGAGGCCCGCGTATCGCAAAAAAAAAAAAAAAAACCCATAAAACTGTTAGAAGAAAATTGACCTGGTAATTTTCCTGAGGAAATAATCAGAGAAGTATACAAAGATGGCAATATATAGTTGATCATCTTGGTGTTCTGGTAATACCAATAAACTGGAAGAAATCCCAGTGTCCATCCACAGAGGATCAGACATACATTCATACACAGTCAGGGGAATTCTTTGCAACTGGTAGGAAAATCAAGTAGCTCCTTATGTATTGACATGGAAAGATGCCCACGGAGTATGGGTAGAAGAAAAAAAATGCACATTGGCCCCAGAACCGTAGGTATCTTTTGACCCCATTTTTGAAAAATATACTTATACCTGCACTCTGAGGGTATGTACAGCATGTTAGTTAAGAACTCAGGGTCCGAGGTTGGAAGAGGCCTAGATTCAAGCTCAGGCCCTTGCCTCTTAGAAGCTGTGTGATGTCAAGTGAGTCCCTTCACCTCTCTGTGCCTCATTTTCCTCTGCTATAAAGTGAGGAAAGCTCATACCTGCGCCATGAGCTTATTGTAAAGATGAAATAAAATACATCGAGGTGCTTAGCACAGGGCCTAGCATATAGCAAGTGTTCACAACAGTAATTATTATATAAATATACTCAAACATGCATTAAAATGTCTGGAAGGACAGGCACCAAAACATCAACAGAGATTATCTCTACAGAGTAGAATTTGATAAGAAGCAGGAAAAACTCAATTTTTACCCTGCACATATAATTCCATATGACTATTAATTTTATAAATTCATCTGATCGGTTCTAAGACGTACATTTTTTTCACACTTCAACATCTTTAAAATTGGGGTGTGTCTTACATGATGGCATGTCCTCATTTAGTTGGCATTGTTTATTCTTTCCTGGGGTATAGAAAATAATGACGCATCTTACAATTGACTGCATCTTAACTCAGTGGAAAACAGTAAAATCACCATGCACACAAGGTATGTCTTCCTCCGTACGGCCCTGGCCATCCAGTACCTGTGGGTTCTTGCATCAGCAACGCCCCTACCTCAGTTTCCCCATCTGTGCAATGAGGAATCTGACAGAGACTTTCCCCTGAAACTTTTCAACTCCGACTGATGTTTGAGGAGCCAGCCTGGCACATAGTAGATGTGAATGAACCAGTGAGAGGTGGGCATTCCCCCAGCCATGGCTAGAATGCCCATCACGATGCAGTCCTCAGAAAATCTGCTGCAGCCTCAGCTCCCCACACCGAGTCACCCTGCAGGATGCTGGCACTGTTCCCTGCCCTGAGCTCAGATCTCAGAACGTAAACTGTTCCTGAAGGGAGAGGCCAGCACAGGTCAGCCCAGGGACACAGCCCTCCTGCCTGTCCCTTCTGCCCCACCCACCACAAACTCCCAAACACACACCCAGCTTGAGCTCCAGGGCTTGGAGCCAGGCCAAAAGCACTTTCTGAAACACAGAAAAGGCAGAGCCCACAGGGAACACTGACCTGGGAGTCACTTCTAGGTGTAAAGCTGGGTCTGCCATACACTCCCTGTGGGGACCCTCTAAGCTTTTGATTCTCACCCAACAGTGTGGATGCCATGACAGGCTGATCGGCAATTTCCTGCCCGTGACCCATGGATTTATTGCAAGGGAGTTTGAGAATCCAGATTCACCATAACTGAGTATTTCTAATGTGGATATGGGACCGTTTCCCAAATGTATCTGGGGGGAAGTTCTAGCTAGTGCAACAAGACAAGAAAAAGAGAAGAGAAAAGACAAAACTGCTTTTATTCTCAGATGGCATGATTGTCTATCTAGAAAACAAAAACTCTGCAAAATCTACAAAAAAAAGAACCTACTGGAACTAATAATTGAGTATAGCGAGATCGCAGGATACAAGATCAAAACACAAAAGTCAGTTGCAATCCTGTATGTCAGCAATGAACTGGAATTTGAAATCTGAAAAACAATACCATTTACAATAGTATCAAAATAAAATAAAGTGCTTAGGTATAAATCAAATGTATGTGAAGATTTCTGTGATTCAAAAATTACAATCACTTAAACTTCTTGATTTTACACTAATTTTATATGTTTTCTCATATAAACCTATCCCTTTTTTTTTTTTTAAACCTATCCCTCTTATAGACGCTAAAGGTATAAAAACTATCAGGCATCCTATATTAATGTGCAAATATCCCTTGCTTTCCAAATCTATTCCATTACTAAGAAAGCAAGAATCTGGATAGTCAGGACAGTCATATCAGCCTCATCTACTTGGCTCCTGAGTTTTGGATGGTTAGCAGCAAGGGTTTAAGTAGCGATGGGTTTGTCTGAAGCTGTATCTGAGTCGATGTGGGTCCTGAGTTTGAATAGTGAGGGTTCAGCAAGAAGGTCCTGGTAATGGTGGGTCTCACACCTGTACAGTATATACTCCACCTGAGAAGAGCAAGGATATTCCTGCCAACCTCTCCCTCCTAAATAGAGTGTGTGCTGGAGCCTGAGGAAAAGAAGAGAGCTCTGGAAGTTGTCCCTCCCTCACTCCCACCACCACATCCATCCTTGCAGGCCACCATCATCTTAGGTCAGCGCAACACCCGTAACATGCATGACGGGCTGGCCTTGGGGAGAACCCACCAGCAGGGAAGGCTGCAGGGAGGCCAGTTCAGCTCCATTTGAGGGAGATGTTCTCCCAGCTAGAGGTGAGCAGAGAGGGAAGGGGCTTCTGGGTGTCAAAGGGAGCTGTCCACCCTGCAGGGCACTGTGTTGAGATGCTAGGGACACTGAGGTGAATAAGAGGGACAGGGCGGGGCCCTGCCATGGGGCCCTCCCAGCGCTGACACTCTGCGGGGTGTGGGTGATGGTGGCAGTGGGCAGGGAAAGCAGACCTGGAACAAGGAAGCAGCAAAGATCATTTCAGCGGTAGAAAGTGCTGGGAAGAAAGTAAAACGGTCCCTTCCTACCTCCACCACGTCCTCCTTCCTTGAGTGTCTCCTACGGCCCGTCATCAAAAGAACTCTGTCACCTGTTCGAGTTATAAACACTGAAGCCAGCGCTGTTTCTCCTTCCACATGAACCCTTCACCTGATTGTTGACTCTCCTTTGTGGCAGAAATCTACAGTTGATTTTCTCTTCAAAGGCATCTTTTATCTGGTTTACTTTTATCTTCTTTGTTTTCAAAATGCATACCTGCACTGGTTTTTAAATACACACTGTAAGTTTGTTTAAACCTGCTACAGTTCCTCCCTCCTTGCAAACAACCTCCGGAAAGTTAGGTATGTGGAGGGATCTCGGTTATCTACCCTGGTGTAAAAAAGAACCTATAAGAACGGATCATGTTAAGAAGCAGCCGTCACTTGGCTTCTGGGCGGAAGATATTCCCTTCATCTCTTCCTTCAGGGTGCAGGCTTTTTAGTGAACGGCAAAGATCATACTTCAAAAAAGGAAAACAGGGATAGACAGGGTATCTTGGGAGGGGTGTGAGGGGAAGACTTTTCTGAAAAGGTGTCGGATCAGTGGAGACCTGAATGATGAGACACAGCCAGGCATGCTAAGCGTGAGTGTGTATGTCTGTATGTGTATGCATGCTCCTGGCACACACGCGTGGGATGGACAGGCAGAGAAGGATGAGAGCCTGTGATAAGAGCTGGAACAAGTGACGGAGGGGGAGACAGGTGTAAGGGGAGGTGAGAGAGGAAATGAAGCCAGATCAGGTAAGATTAGGGTTAAGCTTAGGGTTAGGATAAGGTAGGGGGTTGCCTGCTTGTTGTGGATGGGAGCTCAGAACAGGTGGATTTTAAGGTTCCAACCTCCACCCAGCGTCTATCACCTGCACACTTCAGGAAGAGGGAAACACAGATGCCCAAGAGGGTCAGGAAGTCTCCCAAGAGATAGGGGGCACAGGTCAGGTTGCTAAAGGCCACACGTGATCTTGTGAGTCAGAGAAGGTGGGTGCCATGATCCCAGAACAGCGAGGGCAAAAGCCCAGAAGCCCAATCTCCTTGAGGTGGGTCCCTGCCCTTCACCTCTCTGCATTTTCTGTGTCCAGTACAGGGTCCCAGGTGAAAGAGGGCCAAGGGGTGTTTGGCAAACAAGCGAATGAACAAAAATGATCTGCTAGCTCCTTCACAGGTATTATCTAAAGTAATCCTAACCAAGCCTCGTGGAGCGGGTGCCATGAATCCCCATCTTACAGCTCAGGAAATAAAGTTCAGAGGTGTGAAGTCATTCGATTGAGGTCATAAAGCTAACAAGTGATGGAAGCAAGATTTGAAGCCAGGCCCACATGACTCCAGGGTCTGTGCTCAGGACCACCATGTTGGGCGCTCTGTAGCAGAGCTCAGGGCACGGGGCCCAGGTCTCCTCTTCCCTTCCCTCCCCAGGCTGCAGAGTCCCTTCCGCAACCCCAAGGCTCAGCCTACTTCTTCCAGCAGACTCCTTCTGTCCCACCTTCTCTACCACACTTATTCAAACTCTAAATCAGGGGACTTCCCTGGGGGGGTCAAGTGGTTAAGACTCCGCGCTTCCAATGCAGGGGGTGTGGGTTCGATCCCTGGTCAGGGAACTAAGATCCCACATGCCTCGAGGCATGGCCAAATTAAAAAAAAAACAAAAAACTCTAAATCAGGATAAAAGAGAAAGGGGAATATCCCAATCCTTCCCGGCAATCAAGAGAGAAACAAACGATCCTTCACACCCCACGATACGCTGGTCCCCCAGCAAAGCTCGGGGTAGGGTGGGGGGCCTGCAGTGGGAGGGGCTGCTAGGAGCCAACCCCGCCCTCTCTCCTGGCGCATCTACCCACCACCATCAGGTCCAGTGCGGTCTCCTCGACCTTGTCTCAGGCCTGGGTCTCCCCAGCATGGGTGCAGCCAGAGGTCACCCACTTCCCCACCTTGGCCCTGGCTCCCAGGAACGCAGGAATAGGCAGATGGACAGATGGACAGGAGCCAGCAGTGGGTACTCTGCCCAGTACCGGGCACCCCAGGGCAGCCCCGGCCTGAGGGTCAGCCCCACCAGAAGGGACTCACCGCCCTGCTCTCAGCAGCCCAGTCTGAGGGGAAAGACATTTCACAGTGAGGAAAGCCCTGCACAGTAAAGTGAGGGAGGTGGGTATTGACCGACTCTTCCTGGGCCAGACCTTGGGCCAGGTGGTGCCCAGGAGGAAGGAGTTGGGGACAGTGCCGAATGGGCTCAATCCCAGCTCCTGGGTGCCAGCCTCGGGGGCCCAGCGCTGCACAGCCCCTGCACAGGGCAGAGGACAAAGGAGGGGTGGGCAGCCTAGACTCTGGGCTAAATGCCACCCCTACCTCATCTCAGAGGTGTGGACAGGACCTCCCAGAGGCAGACACCCTGCAGGCTGAAGGGCCCAGAGGCCTTCCTGGGGGAGGAGGCCCAAGCTGAGCCTTAAAGGAAGGGTGGGCAGGGTTGGCCAGGCTGGGGCAGGGTGGGAGGGAGTAGAGACATGGGTCAAAGCAATTGGGCCATTTCCAAGAGACGCTGGATCCAGAACCTTCTCCTCAAGAGTAAGAAGTCTGGCTCATCAGCGCAAGGGAGGGGACATAGGCGTCTGCTGTGACAGCCACGGCCCTGTGGGTGTTCAAGTAACACCTACCAATTTCCAGACCTCCAGAGAGTCACAAGCACCTCTGAGCTGGCCAAGGTGGGCTGCCTGGCACTGAGGCTGTTGCCCGTGAGTGTGGCCGTAGCTTCGGTGCCCAGTCCTGCCTGAGGCCACATCTGAAACCACAGCCTGGCAGGCCTGCTGGATTCCAGCCATCTGTGCCTTGGAAGAGGACGGGGCCGACGAGGAGAAAAGAGCTCGGCTGTGGGCTCATTCAGGCAGGTCCCTCGTCTCCGGTCTGTCTCTCTCTCTCTCTC